GCTTTATCATTCCCTGGGCAATTACAGGATTTTCTTCTCTATTTATTTGGCTCATAATTTCATTTTGCCACAAATACTCTCTTCCTTTTGACCTCTTGGTTCATGGATCTGGGAGTCCTCTCTTCCTTTCTTATCAGAATAATCCAGGAATTTGCTTATCTGCCTGTCTGAGGTCTAGAGACTGAAGTTGGGCTCTTTGTTTATCAAAAGGAGAACATTCTAGTTGCTGGAGTGACATTTTATTTACTGGCTTAAAATCCACAGAGGGCTACTTCACTTGGAAGAAGTACCTAGCTCTTGCCCTGATTACAAGGCCTACACACGTGCCTCCCCTCTGCAGAGCACAGCCAACCCTCACCTGCCTGCCCTGTGGTCTGCAGTCTGGGGTGCTGGGCCCCTGCCAGGCTGTGCTCCTGCTGCCCTCCATGGGACGGATGACATCTCCATCACTGGGGAGGACAGGCTTCTCATCACTCAGGCTAAACCCAAAGTTTGCGACTCCAGGAGGGAAATGAAATCTCCCCCGCTGCACTCACGACACAGCAGCACAGCACCCTCAACCCTAAATTTATTTATATACCCCCCGTTTGCTCACTGCCTATCTACCAGCTGGTATGCAGAGCCCAACAGGGCCTCACCTCCTCTCACCTAGCACACTGGATGAGGCACATTATTTGTTAGATGGATGGTGCACAAAGTAGACGGGTTCTAAATATGACTGTGGATAATCTCCACAGCAACTGTGGTTTGAAGGCTGGAGTTTTCAACCAAACCACTACAGATCCCTATTACTCCTACTATAAGGAAGCAAAGTCAATTCTTAACCCTTCTGATTTGAGCTGGCCTTATACTCTGCCTTTGATTGACAGCAGTGAAATATGATGGTCCACCTGTCTGAGCTAAATTTTCATGGGTCTTATGGCTTTTTTGAATCCTTGCAATCCTTTGAATCCACCACAAAAAGGTCCCAAAATCTGGCTAAAGTATAAAGCCCTAAAGGGAAAGAGAACCTCCCAATCAGCATCAGTCATGCTGGGTGGCCCACCTTAGGATCAAGCTTGGGTGGGAGGCACCCTTGGGTGTGGCAGATGTACTGAGTCCCCTCAAGCAACCAGTACCATGTGGACAGAGACAGTCTCCACAGAGCACTGTCCAAAATCAGACTCTGGAAAAGTTGTTTCAAGCCAGAAAACTTCCGAGGTTTTATGCACAGCAGTAGATACAGTACAGTCGCTGGTATCTGAACGGGAAGTCACGACAAAAAAGCCCAAAAAGAGATTATGTTTCCTTTAGATCCAGACAGCCTCTGCAGAGTCAGGGAGTATGGGGAGCAGTTACAGGAGTGCAAAATCTTGCTATTAGAAGCAGAAGTACTTTTTCAACAGTCCTGGAAACTCAGCAAGATTAGAAATCACCAGGACATGAACTGGCAGGTACTTGTGACGGGCTTGTGGGCTCGCTGAGCAGGCCCCGGCCAATGCACAAGGAGTAGCTGGTCTCTTTCATTTGTGTGTCACAAGGTAGTTCCGGATGGAGGTGAGTTGCGGGAGGAATTCTTGCATTTTGGAGAATTTCTTAAAACCACAGTGGCCCTAAGACAGCATCTCTAGATGGTAAAAGATTCCAGCAGCCAGCATGATCACAGCACAAAGGTAAAAGCAGATAACAGCATGAAAGTAAACACTGAATACCGAATGTAACCACAGATCCTTACTTCAAACTTCTGACATCCTTCGCCCTTCACGGGTTCTTGCAATAGCACACATCTTTCCTGGAATTTTGTTTAGCCTCTGTAGCATGACCCATTTTACACAAAACACACACATTTTACATGAATTAGGAAGGATATTTTGTGTAAAGACTATAAAATGTGTTATTGTCAGTCAATATTCATTGAGAATTTGATTTAGAGCTAATTTTATATAGGGCTCATCAGCTCTTACAACAGCCCTAAAATATATGAATCATCCCTACATTCTCCCACATTAGCAAAGATTTGCTATAGTAAAACAATAAATGCTCATGGCAAAATAATTTTAATGAATATGCAATAATTTCATCTTCATATAAATAACATTTTAAGGAGACATGGAAACATTATTTTCTCATGAAGTTAGTTGTAGAAGGTGTCTTATGTATCATTACATGGTATTCCAAAGACACTGTTGCCAGATTTCTATCCAGTTCTGAAACTCACAATGTGTATTTCTTTTTTAAAATATATTTATTCTAGACAAATGATTATTTATCTGCTGTGGACAAGCCTCAAGAATATAACCACTTCTAAAATTCTTCTACTTCATGAGAAACTAAAATAAACTTTCACAGTTAAATACATACTAAGAGAATATAACTAACAATCAGCTCTTCTTCTTTAAAGCACAGAGTGAGACACACAGCATCCCATACACAAAGGATTCACAGCTTTGAAGTTTGTCCCCTGATGCTAGTTTTAAATTAAGTTTCTTATTTCCACATCTAAAATTTTCCTTGGAATAAATGCATGAACCTTTATAAATTGTTGGAATGCCTTTGTCAAGGTCAGAATTTCAATTAGTCAATTGACTTTGTCTCGTTTTTCCTTTCTGTGCTCTAGCTTGGGTCTGGAGCAAGGCTCCACTGGTACGGGCTGAGCCCCTGCCTGGCTGCCAAGGGGCGGGTGGGTGGGCATTGGGGGCAGATTCCTGAAGGGTTAGGACTCCGCCCTTCCTCTTCCTTCTCATTTCTGTCTGGTCTGTGAGCCCTCCTGCACCTGACAACGACCTGCTACAACGACACAGGCCCAAAAGCCAAGGGGCCAACGGATCCAGGGTTGGGACAGAAGGAATGAAGAAAAACAAACCTTTTCTCTTTTTTAATTAGTCATCTTGGATGTTACAGTAGCAGTAATTAACACATTACAAAATCAACATTTTTCTGTAACTTTAAGACCTATCCAATATTTTCTGACATGTACGAACCCTTATTCATTTACACATACCCACTGTTGGAATAGTAGATCACTGGCTAATTTTGACTATTATAAAAATTGCAATAAAGAAATTCATACTTCAGTTTTTCTTCACATATCTGATGCTTTTCAAGAAATGAAATTTCTTGCTTTAAGGCTCTTGAAAGAAATTAATGAATTACTGTATTTTGGAAAGACTGCAATCCCCGGTACCAATAAAAAAGGAAAAAGACAAAAAAAAAAAAAAAAAGAAAGACTGCAACAATTTTCACTCTCATATCCTGGTATCTACTACTTTACACCTCCCTGAGTGTTAACATCATAATTCAGGGCTCTGTTAATAGGACCAACACCAGGTATAAGATGATGTAATACACTTGCTGGATCAGAGTCCAGACCACTAGTGATGCTTCCTGCACCTCGTGGTTTCAGACTTCTTCCTTCATATCTGTTCTGTGGAGCTGTGTCTCTTTAGAGACACTTCAGAGTCTTACACTTCTAAAGACAAAGAAAACTTAACAGATTTGATGGTCTAGATTTCCTTTCATGACAATTCTCATGTCGTGAGCTGGTCATCAGTCTCTGCTCCTATAGGGACTAGAGCTTTGAGGAGGCCGTGAGAGCTGAGGATGGGGTCTAAGGACTGTAAGAGCACCCAGCAAACTGTGGGAGCCCCTTCACCCTCTAAAGAGAGATTGCCAGACAGCAGACACGTGATTTCCTGGAAGCGGAAACACAGCCACTCTAGACAATCCCTTCCTGGTACGTACAAGCCTCCTGGGTCCTGGTGCTTTGTGAGAGCAGCCCTCATGAACTAAATGCCCAGTTCTCAAGAATCAACGCTGTTCGCCAGTGGTGGCTCATGCCTGTAATCCCAGCACTCGGGAGGCTGAGGCAGGAGGATCATTCGAGACCAGCTTGGGCTACAAAGTGAGCTCAAGGCCAGCCTGAACTGCATAAGGAGACCCTGTCTCAAAAAGACCAAAAAAAAAAGAATCAACACTGTTCTTACCCACAAAGTTCAAAACTGAGGGAAAATCATTCCTAAAGGCTAACATTGCTATAATACTGAACAAGCTGTGATTAGTGTCCAGTGAGACTGGAATGGCTATGATGGGCCTGTAAGCATTAGAACGAAGTGTTCCATTAAAATACATGGGAATAAAGGAGAATTCTCCAAATTTTCACATGGAAAAACTTCTGCTGTAGGGGTCAGGGGTTTATTTCGGCGGCGTAAAAACTTCTGTTATGCAATGCTAAACAATATTAAGATAAAATACTATTTTTTCTACTAAGGTGTAGAAGGAGATAATTCAGAAAATATTAATGGTAATTAACTAGTAGAGTTACAAATGCTTTGTATTTTCTTCTCTCGAAATTGTATTATTTTTGAATTTCACCATATTATACTTCCTCTGGTTTCCTTGTAAATCCACTGTAATTTAAAACAGAGTTATACATTTAAAAATGTTTTTATTATTGTAACAATGTTATTTTTAATTGCACCACAGCTAACCCAATCTCTACTTAGTTCTTTTAATGAATTAACTGAAAGACTTAACAGAAAAATCCAACAAGATTCCTATCTTATATGTTCACTTTTCTAATGTTAAAATTTAACAGAGTTTTACTTTAGAATCAAAGGAAAAGAACAAGCTACAATGTTTTAAGGTAGCAAAACAGGGCTGAAACACTAAAATCTCAGAACCCTGGGAGGCTGATGCAGGAGGGTTGCAAATTTAGACCCAGGCTGGGTAACTTAGTGACTTAGCAAGATCCTGTATCAAAATAAAACATTTTTTTAAAAATAAGGGATGGGGATCTAGTTCACTGCAAAGGCCCTGAGTTTAAGCTGAGAGGGAGAGAGGGGAAAGAACAAGAACACGGCCATCTAAAGTGCTGGTTTTCACTTTGTAACTTAATTACAACAATCCGGACCTGCGTGGCCCAAATGACCATTCTAACCAGCAAGGCCACCGTCAGAGCTGTGCCTTTCTGCCCGGTGTGTGGCTCTCCTAGTGAAGGGCGGGAGGAGGGCATGGACAGGTACCTGTCGAAGGACGGCTTCTCCCCGCAGTCGAAGGCATCCTGCAGCTCCTTGACCAGGTTGGCCTGGCCGGGCAGCCGGAAGAGGCCCTCCTCCTGCAGCCCCCGCTGCCGGATGAAGTCCACGCACTGCTCCACCAGCATCGGGGCCAGGCGGTTCCCATACCGCTTCTCATAGCGGACGGTGTCCTCCAGCTTCTGCCCAAAGATGCCTGGAAGCACAGGAGAGCGCAGTGAAGACCAGAACACCACCGCTTCAGACCTCATGGTTTAGCTTCTGAAGTCAGCAGAGAGGAACAAACGAGTCTACAATGCTAGCCGGTACCCCACAGTGGTATTTCCCACCCTTACACAGCAGTTTCATTAGATACAGTTCTCCAAAGGGAAAGGGTCCTCATGCCACTCCCTCCCTGTCCTGTGCTCAGCTCAAACTACTGTTTGAAGTAGAAAAACATCATTACAAATATACATTTTGCTTGGGGTTTTTATAGTTTTTTTTTTTTTTTCTGGGACAGAAACTGAATTCAAAAGACAAAGGTAGGAATATTCTCAAAATGTTAGTTACAATTTAGTTTCCTTATGTTTTATTTCATGCACGATTTGCACTTCATTTAAATTCTACTCATTTCTCTTTTCCTCTTTGTTTTCATTCAAGATGTCATGACTAATGAAAATGATAAAACCAGGAAAATAAGCCATGTTAACAAAGAAAGGGGATCAAGGGCGCGGAAGGGAAGCAGGGCCGGGAGAGAAAGGGGCTAAGCCATGCGCTGCCCCTGGACCAGCAAACATGAACCGCACACGCACTGATAATTAGACATATTCCCAACAGCCTTTTCCTTTTCAAACCTTAAACTACACACTCATTTGAAACAGGAAAACTAAAATCAGGAAGCAGTGAACTCCAGAGTGAGGAGGATGGTTAGCCCGGCAAAGGGCATCATGGCCTCTTCCTTGGTTTACAGTGGCCAGCACTCAGTGGTAACAAAGAGCAGCACGACTTTTAGCCAGTGTCATCACTGCTTGCAAAATATCTCTCAGCACTCACTCCTCATTGTATGGAAATGAACACCCCAGTGCTCCACCCTTGGTGCCCCACTGAGAAGAGACAACTCCTCTTAAATACATTCATATTGGGCAGTGGGTGGACAAATATGACCGCCTTATGAGAAAAGGAGAGAAGATAAAGCCAAAGCACACTTGGCTCCAACATTCTCTGATGAAATGAATCTTTAAGTGTCATAAAAGGGGAAGAAAAGTGAACATCTGTTAAAATGATACAAGCCTCCAAGGTATGTGAGGAATTATTTAACAACCATTAGGCTAATATTTGATAATCACAACAGATGCTGCCCTCCACTCCCCCCCCCCCCGAAAATTCATTTACCTACGGATTCAGCAACATGAAACTAGCACATTCCAGCAATAAAGACCTACTTCCGAAGAGGAGATTCAGGGTCCAGGGAAGGACACCGACAGGAAATAAAATGACTCCACACCCGGTATCACACTTAGCACTCATAGACTTCATGCATTCCTTTCAGAAAGTAAGTTTTCGGGACCTAATATCAGTACTCAGGAGCACACCAAACAGAATCAGAAAATGGTATTTTTGGAAACCAGTAAAGACTGGAGCAGGTAGAAGGCCCATTTAATTTAGTTCACAGCCTGTATGACAAGCAGTTCCTTGATAATAGTGCGTCAAACTTTATTCAGCAATTCATCACTCATTCTCTGATATCTTCTCTTGTTAGCGCTACTTTGGAGGCTGAAAAATGAAATGTTTGTTTTATGTCTCCTACACCGAGGTGCCCACATGACAGAGTGCTGGCGAGCAGTCTCGGAGACTGGAGGGAGGCTCGCTTTGTGGATGGCAGGAATGGTCTCTGTAGCTGCCAGCCACCCCTTTTCCTTGTCTCTTCTGCTTTGCAGTCCTTCTATGATGCACGGAGAGGGGGAAACATGACTACCTAGAGAGAACCGAGGTGATACAGCCGGCGAACGGATGTGATGCCAATAATAGCCACAGGAGTAATTTTAAGAAAGGCAGCAGTTGGGTCTTGTTTGCTTTTCATGGCTTGGAGTCATCACTTGGATTTAAAAAATTTTTTAAAATATTTTAACTGACTCACAAAACCATAAAAATTGTACATATATTATGGAATACTGTGCAATGTTCTGATGCACATGTGCAGTGTTGGTGTTTAAATAAGTTTAGCATATCTGTGCCTTCGAACATTCCTCTTTTTATGGTGAAAACATTAACAATCCCTTTTTAGCTCTGGAAAGAAATGAATCTATCGGTAACCATACCCATGCAGCTTGCAAAGCATGCCACAGCTTCTTGTACCTAACTGCACCTTGGTGCCCCAGGTCCAGCCTCTGCCCAGCCCTTTTCCTCTCCAGCCTCTAGTACCCACCATTCCACTATCAGCTTCTATGAGATGAGAATGTTAGGGTCTACCCAATGATCTCCAGCTCTGTCTGTGCTGTAGGAAGGATAGGCTTTCATCCTACTATGCCTGGAAAGCATCCCACTGCGTGTATGAATAACATTATCTTTACTGACCCGTCACTGGATGGACCACTTCCTGAGAATACTTTGGGAACGATATGTCTGTTCATAGATGGGAAGAATTGATGAACACACGTATCTCCGTGCGTCTGTGCCCTTTTTGTTACATTTACTTCTAAATTTAAATATTTATTTTTATAGCTGCTTTAAGTGGGAACTCTTTCCTGTCCTCATCTGGGTATGATATGGGTCCATGCAACAGCCACCTTAACCCTCACGCCGATCACAAGGGAATGTGAGTAACAGGAACTGAAATAATGAGAGCTCTTTCCTCAGGTAGGCTTTTAATGTGAGAAAAAGAAGCCTTGTGTGTTTAAGCCTTACTACCTGAGTTTTCTGTTATTTGCAGTAAAACAAAATCCTAGCTCATTCTGTGGTGATACTGGATTTCGGGTGATAGCCCCATGTCTAAAATCAAGGCTTGAAAATTTGTTATGAGTGGAGAGTATTGACTCTTTTTCTATGAGTCATTTAAAAACAAATGCTTATTCATCTGTAATATCTCAATTCCATCCTGCCCAAATGAAGGAAATAGTTTTACAAGACACTTGTAAGTCATTAAAAATAACATGCTGACATTCAAGAATAAATTGTACATATGTACAAGTTTTAACTTTGGATATTCTCATTGGATTGACAAATACATTACATAAGTTTTCTCTGCACTCCCAGGAGAAAAATACAGTAATGATTTTTCTTCCAATTTAACTCCTAGGAACACTACAGACAAGAGCTAAAACCTTCCAAAATTTAGTTATATACAATAATGAAAAGCAGTCAAATGTACTGTTCTCAAAACTTTCAAGGTTTGCTTTTTGGCAAACAATTTAAGAGATGATAAAAGAAAGGATATGATTTGCTGCAGGTATATCTTTGCGATAAAAAAAGAATTTACCTAGAAAGCACAGCAAGATCCCACACTTTACTATGCTTGTACCACTATGTACCAAGCCCTGGACGGATATATCCTTCCACTTTTCATCAGAAATATATAATGTAGCCACCACTCTCCCTCCTCACAGCTGAGGCAAGGAGGGCTTACAGAGTGTGAATACTTTGCCTAAGGTTAGTTATGCACACCAGATGGCAGAATGGACGTCTTGGCCTGGACCTTGGCAGCTTTAAAAGCTTTGAGATTTCTTCCTTTTTGCAGAATCACAGTTGTCACGAGTCTTCATTTTCCAGTCATTTAAATACTAGTGGATTCTAAAGTAAGCAAAATACTGCACCTGCTTACCTTTTAAAAAGCGATCGTAGCCAAGCTGTACCTGTTGATGCCGGGCAGGTCATTAACAGTTTACCTGCTTTATCACATTCGAAGCCCTCAGCACCCCATGAGGCAGGCACCTCCTCTACCACACTCCAGGAGTTTGATACCACGACAAGACAAGCGATCATGGCTCATAGTGCATTGCTGAGCTGAAGCGTATCAGGGCTTCCCTGGACATCAGTCAGTCACACGATGCTGGGTGGCATGCATCACAGCTGAAGGCAGAGGTGGAAGGGGAATCCTGCCTCTTACTATGGCTTCCTGCCCTGGGTCCCTCTCCTCACAAGCCAGGGGTGAGGGTGTATGCTGAGAAAATGTCAGGTAGGTGGAAAAACACCACCTAAACATGGAGAAGGAATAAACTTTGGCATTTCAGCAAGCATGTTTGTTTAGCAATATAATGGGTAAGAAGTTTGAAGCATGTAGACATCACACAATATGATTTTAAATTCCTATGGAAATATGGTAGTTTTCTGCTACAGAACTGGCTTTGTAATGAGTTAATGCAGAGTTCCTATTCTGGGGCATTGGAAATAACAATACATCAAGCATTTCGGGCGTTAAATATTAGGTGTGGGTTAATCTCCTGTAAAGGAATTTTTTTGTGGAAAATACTGCTGGGGTAAGAAAAATACTTTTAAAAACATTTCATTTAACAGCTCCTTAAGGGGAGAAGTGAGATTTGAAATTTTAAAATTAACAACAAAAAGCACAAAGGTCACACATACTGCCCCTAGCTAGCAGCACGGCAAAGAACTCCCTGATTAGTAGATCATTAACCAGAATCCTCCCTGGTGTGGGTCATGCAAACAATCCCAGCTATGCCCATTTAGTTCTCCGTGAGGTCTCACAGAAACTGACCGTGCCCTCCCCAGGATTTCTCGGTGACACTGGTATGCCAGGCTTATTTCTCTGAGAGCATCCTCACGCTGCCATAAAGTGCCACCAGGAGGGACCTCTCACCAGACGGAGAGGGCAAATCACACAGGCGAACTGGTGACATGTGTGAGAATGTGGGATAGAGAAATCCGAAGCTCTGCAGGGCTGCGTGCTCTCCTTTGCTAGTGACTTACCTGGCCCATAGGGAGCAGCACTGTGCCTTCAGATTCATACATTCAAATCTCAACTTTCCTAAAACTAGGCAAATACACAGTCGGCCGCCTTGAGCTCTCTGTGCCCTGTGACTAAATATCCTTCTCCCTCCCTGATTCTAATAACTCCAGCTCCATTTCATAACGTCCTATCGCCTACTACATTCACTGTGAAGGCATTTTCTGACATTACTACCAACTTGCTGGTTGCCAAACCACTGTCAGCCATGTTACGTTTTTGTATTACTTTACACTTAGCATCCTATAAAACTGCCA